CGATGGTGACATTTGAGACTCCGATGGATTCATAGATTGCGTCTGCCTTTGATCTCCATTCGGGTGTGAGGCTTCGCAGGATTTTCCTCACGAGATCCCTGTTGGTGTACGTCTTCTTGAGAGCGTGAAGGTCGTTGATGATTTTTGAAAACTGATCGAACATGTCATCGATCTTTTCTCCTTCCTTCATCCTGAACATTTCGTACTCCTGCGTTAGGAAGTCAATTTTGGCTTCCCGAACTTGGTCCGTACCTTCATATGTGACCTCTAGCTTGTACCACATTTCTTTGGCAGTGGTGCAACAAGAAATCTTACGATAATCATCAGGATTGACGGCACAGTACAGCATATTGATAGCCTTGGCGTAGTTCTCCACCTTTTTGATGTCTTCGGCATCAAATTCGTCCTCGGTCTTTGGGACGAGTTTTTCATCGACCTTCTTCATTGGAGTTTCCTCGCCATTCTTGATAACCAACCACAACTGAAAGTTGGTTGAGCGGATATAAATTCTCATCCGCTCTTTCCAATATGTGTAGTTAGTGCCATCAGTAGTCGATATTCTTGTGTTGATTTTAAGGTAAGGGCCATTAACTCATATTTTGGAGATCTTATCTTTCAACTCCTATTTTAAGAATTTTTTATTTCAATTCCTATTTTGGGGTTTTGTAGTCGATATTCTTGTGTTGATTTTAAGGTAAGGGCCATTAACTCATATTTTGGAGATCTTATTTTTCAACTCCTATTTTGAGGATTTTATCTTTCAATGCCTATTTTGGGGTTTAATCAATGTTTTACTCTTATTTTGATCCCTAACCAATGAAACTATCAAGACAAATCCTAAAAGTTAAAATATACTCCTAAAATGAGTAGCTCTTTTTCAAGGTGGTTTCCCTCGAATGAAAAAAATTTCCTAAATTTGACCCCTAATTAGTAATTCCTCCCATTAAGAAAAATTGAGATAAGTTATCTCGAAAGTCGTTTTTTACACCGCCAAATTGCCCCAAACATAGAATTTATACTGTATGTCCGTTTATAGGGAGATTTATGTACACCAAGAGAATATCTATTTTTAAGTATCAGAACTAGTATCACACACGTGTGTTGCACGGGTCATATTTAAGTTACTAAATTATGTTAATATCATTTTTGAATGTTACAAATTAGTATATAATGAAATATAGAGATTTCATTTTTTTTAAGTTACAAAAGTTTAATAATTTACAATATTTGAAAGACTAGTTTATAATTCACATTACTCGTATAATTTTGTGAAAATACTATCTTCGTTGCATATTAGAATCTTCAAGTAATTATGATTTATAACTCTTGAAACTACAACATACATTTGTCCATGACTATAATATAAATAACATTAATCAAAACTCTGGTTAAAAAAATTTGTTCAGATTTAATTGTGTTGTTTTTTTTCATTTTGTCAAATTACTAATAAAGTGGAGATCTATATACTCTATAAAAACAAAGGAG